GGTGAGGGGAAACACGCAATTCACAAGAAGGAAACTGTGAAATAATGGCCCAATAATGGCCTAATTTGGTGTCTGACACGCTGGAACACTTCAAGAGGTGCTGGTGGGGGTTTTCCCTGTGTTTTGTTTTACAGGAGGAGGAAGAAGCAGCACAGGGAGCCTGGAACCAGCTTTGGCTTGTGCTGGAAAGGAGGAAAGGATGGAGGAGAACCCAAGCCCAGGGGAGGAGCAGGAATTCAGGATGGGCTCTGGCAAATGTAGGTGGGTGCTTGCTGCAACTGGCACTGCAGGTGTCATCTCCCCTGATAAAAGAGAATAAAGTGACATTTTAAGCAGGGGATTTGTGGCTCAGTGAGGAAAATCAGGTTTGCAGTCCAGAAATCACAAGCCACGGCCCAAGAATCACATTCTGCTGCCAAACTCCTGCCTTTACTGCTTCCCAAGAATCCTTAAGGTGTGGATTTCATAAGATTTGGATTCAATCCTACATCAAGTTTATATATTTATTGTAGGGTTGATTACAATTTTTGATTGCAAGCAGTAAAGCTGTTATCTGACTTCCTGCCTCTTTCAGTAAATTCTTATTTCTTATCTCCTTTCTCAACATTACACAAAAGTAATTATTGTTCACAGTGTTGCAACCGTGTCATTCTCTTTTGTTCTGTTGTGCAGGACAATCTCTGCTATCCTTGGAAATATCAGGATGACCAGCTTCTATGTAAGAGTCTCAGATTGTTGATGCTTTTTGGAGAAATGCCCCTGTAAAAATCATCTCAGAAAATATTTTAAATATTAATATTATAATTTAAATATTTCTAATCTGGAGGAATTTGTACCAGTGAGAAGGACTCCACTGAAAAAAAAATTAGTGGCATAGTGGCTCAGAAATTTGATGATTTCATGTTCTCACTCCAATGCACTCAGAGCCAATAGGGCTCCTAAATATAAATAACAAAAGGAAAAAATACATTTCCCCTAAAATCTTGAAAATCAACTAAATCAGCATTCAGTTAAGAACTCCTAAAAGGGGGAATGGAACCCAGAAATTATTTGTGCCTTTCCTTCCCAAATGTCTGGGTTGGGGTAAAGCCTGGGGTAATTCTCCAAACCAGCAGGAGGGTGACTCCAGAAATCCCCTCTGACCTGGGGTTTTTCCACCTTTCTGTTCTCGAAACTCCTTAAAATATCCAGAAATATTGGCATAAACCCAGAAATACCAATGCCAGATCACAGCTTCTCTTCTGTTTCATTATTTTACAGTTACCCTATGGGGAAAAATTACTTTTCAAGGTTCCTGATGAAGACTTGAGCCAGAACCTTCTGTGAAAGCCCCTGGGTGTCTGAGCTGGGAATTTTCTCTGTGGGAAGCCAAGGCCCCAACACCTCCCCCTGCACTCCTCAGAACCCAAATCCCCTTTGCTGAGAGCTGAACCCCCACTCTGCCCAAATTACTCCTTGTTTTGCAGAAGAGAGAATAAAATAATGCCCTGAAACCAACTATTTGTGGGTCGTTTCTCTGAGGGAAAGGTAAAACTGGGGAGAGGGGGGAAGGAAGGAGCTTTGTGGCTTCGGGGTTGCTCATATCAGACAATGACAGAATTGGAAAGGATCAGGTTGATCAAAAAATAAGGATTTTTTTGTGTTTTTTTTNCCCAGGACACCTCCATGGGCACTGCCCCCAAGGACACCACGATGGGCACTGTCACCCATGGCACCATCTCCCTGCTGCCCACTACCACCCATGGCACCTCTGCAGCCTCCCCAGGTGACACCTTTCAGGACAGGTGAGTCCACAGCCACATCCTTGGTGTTTTCCAGCCTGTCTGCCCCATGCCAGGGCCCTGTGCAGGTTGTGCACAGCTAAAACACGACCAGGGACACCAGAAGGGAGGGAAGGCAGTGAGGTTATTGCATTTGTGGGTGCCCCAATGAAGGAAGGAATGATGAATCTGACTCCATGTTCTCAGACGGCTAATTGATTATTTTATTATACTATGTTATTTAAAATGCTATACTAAACTATACTAAAGAATACAGAAAGGATACAGACAGAAGGTTAAAAAGATAAGAATGAAAACTCATGACTCTCTCCAGAGTCTTGAAACAGCTTGGCTCTGATTGGCCAATAAATCAAAATAATTTACCGCAAAATCCAATGAAACAATCACCTGTGGGTAAACAATCTCCAGACACATTCCAGATGAACAAAACACAGGAGAAGCAAATTATACAAGATTTGTTTCCCTTTTCTCTGAGGCTTCTCAGCTTCCCAGGAGAAAAATCCCGAGCACAGGGATTTTTCCAGGGAATGTGAATGCCACACGAGGCCAACTCATGTCCGTGCACACTTTGAGGTTGTCTGTGACCCTGCTGGTGCTGGCTGCTGCCCTGGAGCAGATGCCAGAGTCAACATCTGTGCTCCTGCCTGTTTCCCTGTGCCCAGGGCACTGCCAGGACCTTGGGGATGTTTGAGCAATAGCCCTGGTGAATGTGGGGCTGCTGCTCAGCCCAGGGCAGCCCTCTGAGCCCTGCAGCAGCCAGGAATGTTGGAGCAGGGTGACTCTTATGGAATAATGTGTAATGATTCTATGATTTCAGAAGGTTGAA